CTGAGAATGCCTAATTTCCCTCTGCTTCACCCACTTGATCCAGACTCAGTTCTTCCTGCTCTGGTTCAGCGGCAGCCAGCTTCCAGGTTCCCAGTGGCCCTATCCAAAACTGAAAACAGTCGATGCCGCTGAGCTATCTCCTATTAAGGAGGTTTTGGCCATCGATGCCTCATTAAGCTATCTTCCTGACATCATCAGAAAACTTGAGAAAAAAAAAAACCTTTAGGGCTCAAAGTGTGCACTGGCCAAAGCAGACACTGTTGAGAAGCAGTCTCAGGTCCTCCGTTCTCTGCTTCGATGGTCTGGAGGTCTGGTCCGTCCTCACACTGTCAGCACTCAGACAAGAGGCTCGAAACACTCCCCTGTGTTTCGATTAATTCCCTCTCAAGCCTCAACACAAAACTTTTTTTAACATTTCCTTGGAAACATGAAATTTGGGGAATAGAGGAAGATATTCTTGGCCTGAATAGTCTGGGTTCTCCCATATATTTTCATGAAACACTGATCAAATCCAAAGAGTGACCAAACTTTGTGGAATTTGCCTTACAACTGATACTTTGAAAACAAAAACTTTCCTCCTGAATCACCTTATGTGAAGTTAGAAGTTTTATTTTTTATCTTATTTTGAATAGGAAAACACCAATGGCTTAGTGGTTTGCAAATATGTCGAATTGGGTAAATTTTAAGTAAAATTCCTATCAATAACAAAGATATGAGTTATTTTTCACCCTAAAAGAACATCTAGGTAGGACCATCAGATCAAAACAATGTACACTTGATAGTGGCTATATTCAGGAATAAAATACAGTAATCAAACTCTGAGGAGTGTTTTTGGAAATCTAAACCATGTGTCAGTAGCAATTTATTTCTAAGCCCTATTGTCATGGATAGTAGTGGCTATTTAGAGATCTAGCTACAAGATAGCTTTTGTTCAACTGGGTGTTTGGGGTAATACATTAGCAGTTCGTTTATTTCCTCCTATCCATGTTTCTTATAATCATTTGCCATAAGGTGTTCTCAATATGAGCAGCCCTATAGAGCAAAATTTCATTTTACCAGATTACTTGGAGAATGAATGGAGTTTCCTATCAAAAGTTTTGGGCATTGAGGAAGTTAACTAAAATTTCTTCCAAAACCTTTGCTATTTTCTCTGTGTCTAAAATATCTGAATTGCTGTCCCTGACAAAGTAAATACAGTACAGAGAGTATAAGACCAGCTTTCTCGGATAAATGGGGAGCTTTAAATCTGAAAATTGATCAATGCCTACCCAGTTCAATGTCTGGCCCAGAGTAGACACCCATAAAAGGTAAATAGATAAATGATTCATTATACATAACTACAGACAGACATGTAGAAAGTAGAAAGACTATGGTGCATTTATTACCAATCCAGAACATGCTTTGAAAGTATTTTTTTTAAATCGTGGATGTGCTCTTACTTGAGTGAATTTTCTGCTTTTTCTTACTAACAAAAAATAATATTAAGCTTCTCGATGAGTTTGTCTGTCACGATTTGAGCTTCTGCTCTGTGACTGATGTTTGATTCTCAACTCTGGGCGTGTTTGCTTTTGTTCTAGCTATTGTCCAAGGAGACACCTTAGAAGATATATATAACCAATGCAAGCTTGTTATTGAAGAGCAGTCTGGGCCTTTCATCTGGATCCCCTCAAAGGAAAAGTTATAAATTAGCTACTGCACCTCTGACAACGACAGAAGAGCATTTAGAAGAACAAAATATATATAATATACTACTTGGAGGCTTTTATGTTTTTGTTGCATTTATGTTTTTGCAGTCAATGTGAATTCTTATGAATGTACAACACAAACTGTGTGAAGCCATGAAGGAAACGAAGGGGCCAAAGGGTGGGACAGAAAAGACACTGCAGTACGCAGGAAGGCTTTGGTTTGCTCGAGGGGCCAGGTGTAGGGATGAACCCCTGACAGGCTTTGTGCCCAAGAGATGGGCAGCCTCCTCACCCCAGCAGATGTCCAGAGCTGATTTAGCTGCTGAGCTCTCTGTGTTTTTTGCTTTAAAGAAAAGTTGCCAGCACTTGAACTTCACCAACCTTCCCATTACTCACATCTGTAATTGGTCCACTTCGAATTTTATAACTATGCACATCCTTTGATTTCTTAACAAGCAAAAGAAAAAAAGGAGGAAAAAAGAAAGGAGTCCCTTTGGAGACAGCATAATATCAGGGAAGGATAAGCGTGTAGTTTCTTTGACTGGCAAAGACGAGCATTTCATAAAATTCGCAAGTATATGGAGGACTGACCTTACTGAGAGGAGGGGATTCCACCTGGTGTTAGCTTTATGATTGTTTATTGTCTATTTTGCCATTTATAAACTGAAAGAAGGCACTAAAGATGATAATAATTTATACAATAAAACTATATTAAATGTATAGAAACAAATTTCTATAGGTCAAAAAAGTTTTGTGAAATATTTTGTAAAGAATAATTAATTGAAGGACTAAATGTATGTACTATCTGCAGATGATCGAATTCAAGAACTCAAAGTTGCACTGTCCCTTCTGTTGCCAATGATCCATTAAGAGCATCTGAGTTCTTTCCAAAGTCTGACACAGACTTCTCCCTCACTTACCTCCCATGATCTCCCTTGCCTATTGGTAATACACTCTCATGGAGCACAGCCCTTAATGAGTTGCCCTCATGGATATTTTTGGAAGACATTTGGTTAATGCATTTTTAAGCCGATGGCTTTCAGAGACAGACTCATGCAAACACACTAAAGGGAAATTTTTGCTTTTCTCTTGTTAAACAACCTGGACCTGCTGTGCGAATAGTTGAATAACTTTGTTCCTAGTTACTTACATACAGTTCTTAAAGGATCATTTAGTATTTTGTCCAACTATGAGTAATTAGAACTTTTTTTTTTTGTCTGTTGCACAAGTAACTGAGGTTTTATGACAGCTAAAGATGGTTGAGAGCCATGGAGAGATCTGTCCCAAGATGCACTACTTCTCTGAGGAAGAGAGAAAGAAGTATTTGGTTGGGGGGGTGAGGGGTGCAGACTTTTGTTTCTGTGTACCGGGCAAAGAGAACCATAATGAAAGACAATTAATAACTTTGAGCTCAACCAATTGAACTGCCTTTCTTGGGGGCTGCACCTGGACCAAGTTCATTTTTTTAGCAGTTATAGTAATGATGATTTTTAAAAAAGAAAGAAAGAAACCTCCCTAAGCCTATATCCTACTTTAGAGTCGCTGGTGACATCAGCACTACTTGAGCCCAGGGTGTTTAGAGAGAGACTTTTCAGTGATCTCGATAACCACTCAACTCTGGTCCACGCATGCCCAGACTAAGCCCCATCGCCTTATTTCTGGGGTACATCCAGACCTGGCAGGGATTCTGCCACACTGTGCAGTAAACCAGCATGCAGGCTGGGATGGGAGAGCCAGAGAGCCATCAGCAGTGATGGGGCTTCTTCAGAGTAGAAACATCAGAGCTCAGAATGAGGGTCTCTTTCCAAAAACAAGCATTGTTCATCTTACACTAAATACCACTGTCTGCTTGGCTGCAGTCACCGAAACAAAACCACAAAAATGCAAAGTGATGCATCTACCTATAGTCTTGAGGCTGCCTTTGCCAATGGAAGGGCTGGTGATGTATTTTCCCTCTAATGAAACTTAAATTTCTGGAGCTTTCCTTAGACTGTTCAAAATGTTAAAGATATGTCCATGCCTGCCATTCGCCAGTTTCAGGTCGAGGTCTACTTTCATCAGTATCGCTCCCAGAAGTTTTCTGCCACCAGAATGCCATCCCTGATCCCAGCTCTATTTTTAGGCCACCATTGATAACTTCTTTGGTTTCTCAACTGAGCATGCAACCATTTACTTAAAGGACTGTCATTAATGAGTAGATGTTTCCGCGGGTCGTGTGATGTGCTTTCCATTTAAAATTAAGTATTGCTGTGGCTGAGTACAATCAAATTGAACCACCAACCCTTGGTTTTGTAGTAATATAATTATTTATTTTCCTAGTGTAGATGCTTTCAGATTAGAATTGGCATTTGCACTGATTTTTTTATGTAGATTTATATAAATATATATATACATATATATTTGCTTGAAGAATCACCAAGCAAATTGGTGAGAGGGTCTTTTCCTAAGAATTTCCACCTCCATTTGTTGTGTTGTCTTGCGCTTCCCAATGTTGAGGTCTCTATGGCTCCAATGAACCTGTGTATTTTGCAGCAAATCCTACAACTGGTGTGGAAATGGCGTGAAGGTTACCCAGATTATATCTGGTGCAAATGCACTTGGAGCCTGGGGCCAGACTGGTGCTAACACTGCAAACTTTGTCCGGAGCTCTCTCCAATCTGAAGGCTTGCTGGGGGCGCAATGTCACCTTCACATGCTGGGCCCTTTCGGAAAAGTGCCAGATCGTGTCACTGGTGCTATTTTTCATGCTCTGGTACAATGTGTAGCACCACGGGGGTCTCAGCTTTACCAAAATCAAAATCCCACTTGTCAGCTCATTGCAGGAGCATTTGTTTTTTGCTCTCCTCCCACAGCATTTGTTGGCCATTTCTTTGCAGGCCTTTTCTCCCAGCCCCAAATTCTTGGATGGGCTCTACCTGTTAGTGAGCTCACCTTTACAAGCTGCACTCAGGTGCCTGTGAGCTGTCTTAGATCCTACTGCCAGCCCTTTGGGACTCCAAGCCAGGGAGAGCTCTCCACTCCTCGGGCTTTCACCTCTGGTTCTTTGTCATTCTCTTCTTCTGCAATCCCTCTCCTCTTTTTATCTCATTCCATCAGTCTTCGGGGTACCTCTGCTTTTATTCTTCCCTCCTGTCTTCTCTGAGTTGTGGATTTTCCCCTGTAGTCCTTCTTTACTCCCTCCCCTTACTTCATTTTTCCTTCCCCATCTCTTTGTCTACCTCTCCTTTATTCTCACTCTCTCTTTTCCCTTCTAATCCCCCTTTCCTGTTTTTTCTCTTTCC